GTTGTAGAGTAGTCGTAGTAAGGTAGGTGTTCCGTTAGTTAGTTACGTACGTTAGTACGTTACGTTAGTGTGTCGTGTGCGTGTGTGTGTGTGTATGAGTGCGTGTGTACGTGTGTGTTCTTGTGTGTATACGTCTTACTGTCTGTGTAAATACGTACGTATTTTCCTTGACGTATGTGACCAAATATTAAGTTGTGCTACCTTGCTACACTTCACGAGTACGGGTGAAATATCGTGTATATTGGGAAATACCAAATAGGACGAAATAACATTAATAAATGCAAACCGACATATTGGACACTCATTTTTACACTGTATTAGTCGAGTGAAACGCGATAAACACTTCTTTGCAATGCACGCCAATTCCATTTTTTAGGTCACGGAGGGCGTAAACCACACTTGTCACTTATCCTGCCAGAAGGTGCATTGTGAACTTTATATTTCACAGGCATACACATGATTGCTCACACCTATCGACCCTATCGATAGTGTTGTCCTTGAGCTCTGTTTTCAATTTCAGAGCTATCGTGTTGCATCTCCGCTCGACGCATGCTGACCACCTTTTCAAGAAAGGTGGCAAATTGTTACCAGTTTGAAAATTGATTGTTTCTTGGTACAAAAAAAAGATGGCAAAATTTTTACATATTTATTTTTACACTTGTGGCCAATATAGCAAGCACAAGGCAACACACCGATCACTAATTTATATTACTTATCTGCAATAACAAACATAAGTCCGCATGCTCAAATATGCCACCTCAGTGTTCAGTATTAAATTGCAGCTCAAGGTCAAATTTGGTGAAATTCCCTACAGACATTGACATTAGAAATATATGGACTGAGGCTTTGAAAGCTAAGGATGACTACACAAGAAAAGAGACATCTTTCCCGTTATACTGGACGCATCGCAGGTGGATATGTGTAAAACGGCTAGTGGGGGTATAAAGCTATTAGCAGATGCATTTCCATTGAGGCATTTGGGTGCACACCATAACCGTAGCTCAGAGGAAGGAGCGGCTACGCCGTCTGGCAATACAGCTACTACACGTACGCTAGCAGCGATTCCTTTTAATGAAACCATACAGCTTCACAGCCTTAGTGACGTGATGCAGTACTTTCGAAATGTTATGTAGAAACAACATGGAGAGTAATGTTAGATTCCGAAGCGCAAGTAGTTTTTGGCCGATACACACAACGTGGTGACCCATTTATGAGTCCCCTAGCCTGTGAATTAGTTGCCGTACTCAATGAAAATCCGCTTCAACTGAAGTATGTACGTTCTACTAAATTCCAAGCCATTGAATGCAACGATGGTAATTCACATCAATACATGGATTCATGGCGCGAGACGTGGGATCGCTGGATAGTGCGAGAAATCTTGAAACACACAAGCAGTTAAAAGATGTATGGGGCTATCACTGGGAACGTGGTCGACCTGACGTCGGTCGCGGCAGAAGCACGTTGCATTACGAAGGACATGAACAGAGCTACTTCTAGTATGTAAGTATGTACGAATGTGTGCACTCATAGTAATAGACACATAGGTAATTGTATATTTAGCTTGCATTTATTCAGATTGTATTATGTGCAAACTGATATACTATGCACATATAAACCGTCAGTAAATTCACAATAATCTTTCAGTATCAGTATACTCAAAACTATCTGTCAGTAAAATAGCAATTAACCGTCAGTAAACTCGCAATTATCCGTCAGTAAACTCACAGTTATCAGTTAGTAAACTCGCAATTATCTATTAGTAAACTCGTAAAAAAACTGTTAATAAACTCTTTATAATCTGTGCCAGGTGTTTCTAAAATAACTAATTCTATTTCAGACCCCAACAAACTGATCCGCACTAATTTCGATTATTCACGTTATGTTGGGTGCAAAAACACCCCCCTATAGCAAATGCGTGATCTATGCGTGATCCTAAATTCAGAACGTGTCACTCAAACCAGTTTCGAAAATTGACAATATTAGACCAACGTAACAAGGATATACTCGCATATAGATAACATCACACAGAATTACACTTGGTACTATGGCTGGAGGCAAATGAAGAGTTTATAATTGCCAAAAATTCAGACCGGAAGTAACCTTGCACAATATCAGAGGTGAAATGATGACAGCACTGCAAGGTTTTCTTTTGGAAGATGTGAAGGCTGATTATATCTGCAACCGTCACTTTCTCAAAACAGAAATTGTACGATATGGAAATTTTAATCCGCCTCGATATATGGTCGAACGAGGGGCTATACCATCGTAACATCTGGGTCCTGCACTTGATAAAAATGCTCAAAGACCTTCTCGGGTAGGAAGATTTCGGAATTTGGATTTCGGAATTTGCAAGGCCATCCTGCTCGTGGTCTAGGCCGAGGTCGAGACGCAGGGACTCAGACTGCTATTTCATTTCCACTCGGTGAAAATATAAAAGTAATAACAGCAGCACAATTAAATGCTTTGCTTCCTAAAAGCACTAGCACTTCGATGCTTAGGCTTGAGTATGTTGTAACAGCTGCTGTGGCGAACCCTGCTACAACTTATGCATCTCTTTTGCAGTTCGCGCAGGCTACAGCTGATATAGGTGCTGTGCCGAACATGCCTACTATAACTGCTGTGGGTTCAACTACTGCACCTGCTGGCAGTGCTGGGTCGAAGTCGTCAAAGCAGACCCAAAAACCAATAGAATCAGTCGCATCTCGCGTACGCAGCAGACGCAAATGAGGTCTTGATACTCACTCTGTATATTATTTATATATAGTAAACATTCAATATATATTCAATAAACATTTATAAACAAGTTTAAGAAAACAATTTCCTTTATTATGAACAATAATTACCTTTATCGCTTATTGCCTGATGCCAGTTCGCAGTTTTCGGCTGACTTGTATACAGTTTTTGACTGACTTGTATACAGTTTTCGGCTGACTTGTATACAGATTTTGGCTGACTTGTATACAGTTTTCGGTTGACTTGTATACAGTTTTTGGCTGGCTTGTATACAGCTTTTGGCTGACTTGTATACAAATTTTGGCTGATTTGTATACAGATTTCGGCTGACTTGTATACAGATTTTGGCTGACTTGTTTACAGTTTTCGGCTGACTTGTATACAGTTGTCGGTCGACTTGTATACAGCTCTACTTCAGTATTTATTTATACTAAAGATATCGCCTGACATCGCGTAGGATGCAGGCGATCGTTTCGAAGGGAGAGGACCACTCTCCCTTCGTTTAATATAACTATAAAGACTAGCGTAGCTACGGAAACAACAGTATACATAGCTATCTTCACGATAGCTATGTTTCTGTTGTTCAACAACCAATCTGCTAGCAGCAGATCGGACTGTGTAGCAAACTCCGGGGACCGGGACACTGCCCACTTGAATCGAAATGAGCAGTTTCGAGCCCCCAGTGAAGTGATTGGTGTAATATGTACATCGACCACTTCATTAACGTCGAATGGAACTCTGCAGAGTTCAATTACGGACGATATTAGCATGTTTTGTTTAGCTATCTTTAGCTACGTTTTAAAATTCGATCTCGTCCATAAAATGAGAAGGATTGAGAATCGAAGACGTATATGTTTAATTATATGTTTATTTAAAACTGTATATGTAATGATGTGTACATCTACACACTTTTTAAGCATATTATATAGTAACATTGTTATATACTACATATGAGTCGATCGTTTAATGCATATAAACTGTTATCTATGTGCTACTTACTAGTGCCTACTGAGCTATAGTACTACTTACTGCCTGCCTATGTGTAAATACTATGTATTCTAAATAGTTAGTGTTTCTCGCTCTAGAGTTTCTACTAATTATTTTTTTAAATAATATATATAAATACCAGCAGTCTATGATTACGAATTCTGCCCCAACAAGATTCGTAAACATTTAGGGCTATGGACATTGGGCGCTATAAATATAAAATACATAATAAAATATAAAATATGTATATATTGTCTCATATTATATGGGAAAAATAATATTTATGATTTTAGCAAAATAAAAAATAAAAAATTTGTAACATATATATATTAATGAACGGAAAATCACAGACTCACTGAACAACATGAACGGAAAGATTTTCGAATTGTTCAATGAACTGTTGCCGTTGAATGTGAAATGAAGAATTTTTCAAAGGGCCATTGAATGTAAAATTAGAGAATAGACGGCCGTTGGATTGAAATTAGAGAATGGAAGGCCGTTCCGTTGAATACGAAATTAAAGAATGGAAGGCCGTTGGATGTGAAATTAGAGAATGGAAAGCCGTTGAATCTGGAATGGAAAGGCATGTGGATGTGGAATTTTGAAATAGTGAGGCCGTCGGTT